GCGGGCGCTCGGTTGGAAGCCGCGCCGGACACGCCAAAACCCCCCCCCCCCGTCTTAGGTACATCTCAAGTGTCGAGATAACGAGAACGCTCTGTCTGTAGCTTGCTAAAAATAGCGACCTGTCAGCTGACAGACGCGGTTCATACGAGGGCGTGTACGGGAATGAAAAAAAGGTCATAACTCCGTAACCGTCCAAAATCGGACACATGTTTATATGAACTTTTTTTCATCACAAAGACCTAGGAAATCACCTCCTGCAGTTATGCCCTAAAGTCGTGAAACACCCTGTATAGTCACCACTGTGCCTGAAGGGGTAACAACATGTAAAACTTAGATATGAAGACATAAAACTAAACGGACTTCACATAACATAGCAATTGTCGTTCTCTTCGAGGTACGGTTCGTGGACCAACAATCGCCAACTTACGCTAGAAACAAGCGTTGTGAGTTCTGGGTGCGGGGCACGAACAAAGGCACTCTGGAGACTCCCCAGCACTCACTGCCACGCAACACAACGTGCCTGTACCACCTGCAGGGGGCGGATGCCTCCGTCCAGCCGCCCCCGCGCCCTGCGGACATGTTCACATCACACCAGAACCAGGCGATCTGGCGTCTGCCCCCACCTCGATATAAAGTCTGGTTATCGATACTCAAGTTCCACGTCTCGTCGACAATCGATCCTCAGCTGCAAGAAGAAGAGGAGTGCGCGAGTCAACTAAAGGTGTGGGATGGCGCGTTCAGAAGGGTTCCGGACTCAGCAAAATGCAACGAGATATTCTGGTGAGGTTTACCTGTACAGGCTGATTCGCTAGGGAAAGGCACACAACTGCTAATTATATATCACGCAATAATTTACAGACAAGAACGGAGCTCGGCGACTGCATACGTCTGTAGATGTGGAGATAATTCGCTTACAAAAGTCGCTGAAATTTGTTTCCCTCCGTCTGGAGATACAGGCAGACTGAAACCGCGTCGCTGTTACAAAGCAGAAAGCTTTGCCACGTTTCGATCTCATCCGCAAATTATTGCGTGTATTATAATTACTAATTCTGGCTCACTTCGGAGTGGATGCCTCTATGTATGTGCGTCAGTGTATATACATTTATGTGCAATATTAAACAAAACAATGATCAAGTCAAGAAAGATGAAATTGACAGGGTATGTAGAACGAATGGGGAGAAGACTGCATGTCTGATATTGGTGGGAAAGCCAGAAGGAAAGAGACCACTAAGAAGATCAAGACGTAGGTGGGTGGACAATATTAAAATGGATCTTAGAGAAATTGGATGGTGTGGTATGGACTAGATCGACCTGGCTCAGGGTAGGGACCAGTGGAGGGCTCTTGTGAACACGGTAATGAACCTTTGGGTTCCATAAAATTTTGGGAAGTTCTTGAGTAGCTGCACAACTGGTGGCTTCCCAAGAAGGGCTCAGCTCCATGAAGTTGGTTAGTTATTACATACTACAAGTCCATACGCAATGCACAAAAGGTTAAAACTTGCTAAGCTGTAGTTATACGTGTCCTTAGCAGCTTCAAGCAGAGTTGGGAGTAGTTACGAATAGGAGTAGAAGACGGTATTAATGAATATCTGTACAAAATAATTTTTGAATCGGTAGTTGTACAATCCACCTTTCTCGAAGCAGTACTGACTGTGCATATAGCCATTACTTCAAGTTTAGCTATCTTAGTTTATAGAACATGTTTCACCAGTCCCTAGGGTGCACATTCAGTGAGACCGTGATATTGCTGTGTCACTCAAGGGCATTAACGGTAAGAATCGATCAGAGCGACATACGCACAGTGTGGCCAAGTGCAGTACTGCGAGATTTTATGTTCCTAAAGCAGTGAACAGAAAGTTTAGTGAAGTCTGTGGTGTGATCCTGCACAGTAGGGTTTATATAATTGTACTTGTCATTGAATTTGCAATGTATGTGTGTGTGTGTGTGTGTATGTGTGTGTGTATAGTGTGTCCTTTACTGTTTGTGTAGTTTTGTGTTTTATTTGAGTGTGGTATGTCTTATTGTAGTACCATTGCCACAGGATAGAAATCGATTTGCAGTTAAAATAAATAATAATACTATCTACTAACGTTTCGAAACAAATTTCTCCCTCCATCTTCAGAATGTATGATGATACCAGCTTCCACGAAAAGTTGGTACTCTTATACAGACTACCAGATGTCACATTCTAGAATACTCGTACATTAATCTGTGTAAGGTTTATTTTCCCCGCTGAAATTTCAACAGACTTTATGTTAGTTATTGCATAAGTGTCTTCCCTCCTCACCGCTTGCTGTGTGTGATGTGTGACGCAGCAGTGGTCCGGTGAGTGGGAAGGACAAAATGGCGCGATATCCCGCAGTGATAAGTGGTGGCAGCAGTGGAGTCCCGCTGATTGTGACTGCAACGGAGTCAGCCAATGCCACTCTTCTGGCCACGTTCTGTAAGGACCAAGTGCCACGAAGCTGTGACCACACGCTGCTCGCCAACAACACACGCTTACCACGACCGTGCTCTCTGGCCGAAAGTTTCCTTTCTTCGGGGGACAGTCTCACACTCGAATTACGACTGACAGAATCCACGGCGCTCAGGTACGTACAGTGCAGCATAGGACGGAGCACTTTCAAAAGGATATAGAAAGAAACAATTTAACATTAACTAGTCACTATGGCCGCGCCATACCTCAAGCGGTTAGTCGCTGGCTTCCCACGGCGGTGGCTCGCGTTCGATCCCGGGTCTGGTCAAGTGGGATTTTGTGGTGGACAAAGTGGCACTGGGGTAGGTTTTCTCCGAGTACTTCGGTTTCCCCTGCCAATCTTCAGTCCATCAATTGCTCCACAATCACCATCACCCTATCATCTGGGGCTGGTACAATAGGCCAGAAGTGGCCGCAGTGCAAGGGACTTAGTCCCACCCCACTAGCATTAAAAAACTAGTCACTATAATTAGACGCTAACGAACAAGCTTACCGTGTCCAGATAAGTATCAGGTCAGAGATGAGGCTCCAAACTTAAAGAACGAAAGTCTGAAACATGGTACTCAGCAGGGATATCACATACCGAGGGGGGAATGGTGCAATGGTGGAGTAATTATTTGTAGAGGGATTCCAAATAACCTCGTAGAAAAGCCTGTTCCAGCACCATCTACTTGATCTCGGATCTCACGTTAAGTCAACCAGGACTGAAGCCGCGATTCAGGGCCGAACCACCGAGTTATGACATAGCTTTTGGACCACTGGTAGCGTCGTTATATAAACCCACAATATATACCAGGTGGGATGTTCAAAGGACAGTACGGGTTCCATAGAATGCCTACTTGAATTTCAGACCGGTGTCCTTCCGAGCTCTGTACGAGTTTGTGGATCTCCATCAGGATGGTGAGGAATACGGTAAGGGCCCATGCTCCCGGAAATTCGTCAGTCGATCCCAAGGACCGATACAAGAAAGACCGCAGAACTTTCGGGCTCCTAAGAACGTGTTCCTTTATGGCAGAGGGGGATCACCTAACATGAGGTAAACACATCTCGCTGTGTCTGCGAGCATTTGTCACGTCACAATTTATTCTAATGTAGGCAGGAATGTTCAAAAGTGTACCCAGACAGGCCGAGCGCACTTACGTCGTCTGTAGCAGTATCTCCCTACTTGTGGTTCGTAGAACAACGGACCACAAGAGTTTCGTGGGTCGTCTATGGAGGATTCTGTTAATGTAGTTCTTTCTTCCACAACCTCTCATATTTCTTTGTATTCTCAACCAGTAATAGTATTATTATTATTATTATTATTATTATTATTATTATTATTATGTCTTTGAATATATTATCAAAATGTAAGAGGACTCCGGACGAAATATGTTGAATTTTATGATAATGTTTGTTCCACAGCTTTTGACATTATCTGTCTGACTGAGACTTGGCTTAACGATTCGTGCTATGATTGCAATATATTTCCTAGTAGATATACCGTTTACCGGTCTGACCGGGTATCCACCAGCAAAGCTCGTGGTGGTGGTGTCTTAACAGCCATTCCCTCCAGCTTGGGTTCCTGCAGGCGCAGGTATGATTTAGAACTCTGCTCTGAATGTGTTTGGGTTGAGATTCCCACAGTTGACAGCCACAATTTGCTTATTGGCAACCACTATTTCTCTCCTGACACTCCACCGGGAGTCATTATTAATTATTTTCAACTTCTTGAAAACAAGCTTGACACCAATTGCTTTCGTGTCGTTTTATTAGGGGACTTCAATGTTCCTGGTTTTAACTGGATACGTGGGTCACCTCTGCCCAACTGTCACTACTACGCTAAACTTAAGGGGGATGCTATATACACCTCCGCATGTCTCCTTGGCCTTCGGCAGTATGCTGTAGCTGTTGACAACCATAACTTACTTGATTTAGTCTTCTCTAATCTCACCGATCTAAAGCCTGGTCCTTCTTACTCTGATTTGGTCAAGCCTGATCCATATCACCCTCCCTTAATTATTGATGTCCACCTTCCACATATTACCTATAATCCTGATTATAAGTTCAGCCATCGAAAATTCGCCGCCGGCAATTATACTCTGCTTTACAACACCCTATCTGCGTGTGATTGGTCAGGAGTATATAGAGCTACTTCCGCTGATGATGCAGTTGCCAGCCTGAACGCCACTGTTCAAGCTGCCATGGAAGAGGCAATTCCTCGTTGCCCTACTCGTAAATCTAAATTCCCTTTCTGGTACTCTAGTTCCTTAAGGTACTACATTGGTAAGAAAAATTACTTTCACCGTCGCTTTAAAAAGAAACAAACTGATCACTATTATGACAAATTCATTTTCTATCGTAAGCTTGTTAAAAGCGCTATCAAAACCGACAGGCTTCGATGGCTGAAGTCAATAGATAACGACCTGAAAACACAACCTCAGCATCTCTGGAAATACGTTTCTTCTTTCAGGAAACATACTTTAGGTTGCATTCAGCTTCAAGTTGATGGTGTACACTTAGATGAACCTACTGCCGTGGCTGATACCTTTGCCAAACATTTTCAATCCCTCTATAATACCCATTGTCCTACAGACCCTCCCCCTCTTTCGCAACCTACTGAATTCCTGTCTCTTGCACCTGTTTCTGATGCGGATGTCTGCAAGGCCATTAAGAGACTAAAACCCTCTAAATCTGTCGGACCGGATGATATCCCGGGGTTTGTCATAAAAGGCTGTTCGGCAATTTTTATTCCTGTGCTTAGGCATATATTTAACTTGAGCCTGTCTCAGCAGCAATTCCCTGATGCATGGAAGGAAGCGACTATTGTGCCAGTATTCAAAAGAGGCAATCCTGCTTGTGTGAGCAACTACAGACCCATTACCCTTCTTAACAACTTCTCTAAGCTCCTCGAATTCATTATTCACGATCATATTTCGCATTACATTAAACTTCATCCCAACCAGCATGGCTTCACCAAATCCAAATCCACAGCCACTAATCTGGTATCCTTCCTAGATATTATGACCCCTGTTGTCTGCAGTCAGCGTCAGGCTGATGCTGTCTATTTTGATTTTTCTAGTGCCTTTGACCTCGTGCCCCATACTTTGCTCGTGCATAAGCTCAGCTCTCTTGGATTTTCTGATGGATACCTTAACTGGCTTCGCAGTTACCTAGCTAACAGAAGATCTCGGGTCCGATGCTCTGATGCTCTCTCCCGGCCTCTAAAAGTAACTTCCGGGGTGCCGCAAGGCTCTGTCCTGGGGCCCCTTCTTTTTAATGTATTCATTAATGACCTCTGTAACTCGATAAGACATTCCCATTTTCTAATCTTTGCTGATGATTTCAAAATTTTTCGCACCATAGACACTCCGCAGGATTGCCTCTTACTTCAAAATGACATTCATCATGTCAGTGACTGGTGCTCTGCCAACTCCATGAGTATTAATATCAACAAAACGCGTGTTATGTCGTACTCAAGGAAGACTAATGTCCTGCTCTATGGGTATCAGCTTTGTCATACTGCTATTACACGCACCAGTTGCGTTAAGGACCTAGGTGTTTTCTTTGACTCTAAATTATATTTTCACAATCATGTTGATTTTTTATATTCCGAATGTATAAAGCTGCTAGGTCTTATACGCTCAATAACTTTTAGATTTTCTTCTCTTGACTGTTTATATGTGCTGTATCTTACACTAGTCAGGTCCAAGTTGGAATATGCCTCGGTAGCTTGGAATTCTATCACGTCTACTGACTCCGCAAAACTTGAGCGCATCCAGAAAAAGTTTGCATCTGTCTGTTTCTACCGCTACTTCCCACATAGCTCCTATAGTTATACATCTGCCTTAGAGAGACTAAGATTGCACCCTCTAAGTATGCGTAGACATCTTCTTGATGCACTCTTCTTCATTCAGGTTTATCGTGGCCTTAAATCCTGCTCCTCCCTTCTGGATAATGCTAGTCTTCGTGTTCCTACTTGCCATGTTCGAGACTTCTCTACTTTTAGCGTTCGTCCCTCAAAAAGACACTGTCCCTCTTCTAGGTGCGCCCTTGCTACCAACGTGGTGGGTAAAGATCTCGACATATTTGCAGACGGAGCGGTTTCTCTGAATCATATTTTACAAGCATGTACCAAACCTTTTACGGTGTTACTTGATTAGTGTTTTCATTCACTACAAATATGTGTTACCTCGGCTAGCTTTAATTATTCTTATGTAATTGGTTTTAATTTATTGACTGGTTATTAATTTTATTAATTTTATGCTATCACTCACTGGTGTCTTATCTTAGTATTTAGTTACTAACAGTATTAGCAACATTCGTAATATTTCATAAATGTATGTATATATTTCAGTCTTCTTTAGATCTATGTTCACAGATTTATTTGTCGTATTTGTATTTTGTTTTAATTATTTTGTACCTTATATACTCGTGCTAACTTTGTAATTGGCCGCTGGGCTGTTAAGTTATTGCACGTAAATAAACATGAATTGAATGAATTGAATGAATTGAATTATTATTATTATTATGTTTGCGTATAAAACTGTTTATTTTTTCAAATTTCTCGTGTACAAATACCGAAAACATTTCTTAGAGTATAATTTAAAAGAAGAATTATCCCGGCTTCTGGGAAGTGACACCGTGAAGCCTGTTCAGTACGTATCAGCCTTTTGAAGGACCCCGTTGATTCCGCCAGGCGAGGCGTTAGTATCCACTTCCCGAACTATACGGTGCCATGTGCCACAAATCTTTTGACCAGCTGAGTGACTATCAGTTTCACACGGTTTCTTGCTGGCAGTTGCACGTTCCGGTTTGAGGCGCAACGTGGGGAGCGCGTCAAACTCAGGATCACTCAGCTGCAGACCGGCGGGCGTCGGTGTGTTAACGCACAGCAGCCTGACCTAGGACGCCTGCAGTGCGACGTCAACTGCACCGCGTCCCTACGCCTGTACGAGCACCCGTGGAGAGACACGCCTCCTCTTGCACGTGACTGCCTCTGCTCCTCGCCGGGCGATCTGATGCCCTTCACGTTTGTGTCCACGGCCCACGTGGTCGAACTGCGGTTCGTTGTCACTGGGATGAACTCCACAGACGACTTCAACAACTTCAGCTTTGAAGGCAGTTGGGAATTCATTCGGACTCCAGTGTGCGCCAGGAAACAGAGGCTGTCTGGAGCCAGCGGCGAAATCCTGTTCAGATCCCCGAGCAGGACACCAGAGGAGGTACCATTCGTCTTCCAACTGTTTCTTTGCCCTTCAACTGGGGTGGGTGAACTACGGACCGTGAGAACTTCTTATCCGGCTCGCGGAGCCATTGTGAGAATTTTCCAACAATATTATTTTGTTCAGCTTTAATCAACATCTGTCACATTAATGAAATAACTTCTGTCATTCATTAGGGGCACGCGGTAGCACAGTTAGTTGACGCACTATGCTACAAGCCGGAAGGTCGGGGGTTCAAGTCCCGATGAGGTCACTGGATTTTTTCAATTGATCTAATCCTTCCAGCCGCACTATGGCCCTGGGGTCGACTCAGCCTCTAACAGAAATGAGTACCGGGAATATTCTTGGAATGTTCTTGGGGGTAAAGGTCAGCCGGCGCGTAGGGCTGACAACCTTGCCGCCATCTATGAGCCGATTGTCTAAAAAATGTTGGAACCTCAACATGTCACAACCCCATGGGCCTCCACGGCCTGTTACAGGGATAGCTTTAATTTTACTTTACTGTCATTCATTATGTATATTATAACGTGCATGCCCGCTTGTTGAGAAACACTTCAAAATATTGCGCTGACCAAGGGTCCAGCAAAACACTGACAAACTCTAATCTGACCCTTCACCTGTGAAATTTGCCCACCCCTGTTCTACGAAGACGAAATACGTTCTTGGACAGTATTTATCTTACGGGATGTAATGCTGTGCAGCCCGACGTTTCGAAGGAACTACCACCTCCATTTTTGCTGCTAACGATGCAAGCATCAAGCTCTTCGGAGAAACTCATTGCTACCATTCTCAGGGTTGAACATTGAGCTAATTAAAACACAAGTAAGCACCAACTCTGGTTGATTTCTGTTGGCGTGGCTTATTATTCGACATCCGTAACTTCGTTGAAGTTGTATTCGAGTACATGGCGTCACATCCCGTAAGACTACCGCTGTGAGAACCCCAAATCATACAGATATGCTCTTATTAAGTCTGTGAAGCATAAATGGATGGATGACAGAGTCGGGAAAGTGGAGGGGGGCGATAACGAGTGTGCTGTCTGACTGGCAGGTGAACTGCGAGAACCACCCCTGGCTGATCGAGCCAGGAGCAGGACGCTATCTGTACATCAAACTGAGAGGTGTATCGCTCCAGCAGCAGCGACTCACGCCGGAAGCGGGGAACCTCACGAAGGAGGAGCTGCAGCGCCAGCAAGAAGCACTCTGCGGAACCCGCAACAGAATCTCCCTACACTCTGGAGGTTCGGTCCACGTCGTAGTGTGTCCTCAACCTCCCTCCTCCCAGAGGCACCACGTGGTTGAGGTGTTCTCTGAGGGCTGGGTCATCAGCAGCACCAAACTGGTGCACCAGCCAGTCCTGTCCACGCTACCATCTCTCGAACAACGAGCAGCAGAGCAGTCCAGGAGCGTTGTCGTAGAGTTCCTAGCTCATGAGGCCGGCTCATACTCACTCACGTGGCTGGAACTGGCGCGGAGGTAAGACTTGTCCCTCTGTATGAGCCTCTGAAGCATGGAGTTCATGTGGCAGGTAAATGTGATTCGGAGTGTAGACTTTTTGCAAGGACTAGCACAAGATGTGTCTGAGAGAAACGGGTTACCGGCACCCTCTTCTCGAACACTCTCAATCTATATTCTTCCACTAGACTGCGAGATTGAGTTTCACGTCGGTAGAAAATCACAGGAAACACAATGAATCTGCCCCCATGCATCAGACCATTCGATCAGTCAGCACAGCTTGGACATCTGTCCCATCTAAACTCTCATTACCATAGCAAAAGTAAAAAACTACAACTCCGTCCAGGGTAGATTTACGATGGGGTACCGAAAAGAAACCGAACTATTTTTTTTGTGGGCAGAGCTTTTGTAGTACGGCGTTTTGCTGCTGTGAGCGCATAGAGCTAACATTCCTGAGTCGACAAGCTGACTACCGTTGCTTCAGAAGGTAAGGTCTAGTTTCGGCAGAGTTTACAGTGACAACTGTTTTGTTTGAACGTCGTTTTTGCAATGGCTGATTTTCGTGCGGAGATGAAATTCTGTTTTTTGCTCGGGAAAAGTGGAACAGAAACTCTTGAAATGTTAAAAACGGCGTACAAGGGCTATGCTATGGGGAAAACTCCAGTGTTTGATTGGTTTTCCCGTTTCAAAAATGGTGAAATGTCAATTGATGACAAACCTCGTTCTGGTCGTCCTTCCACGGCCCGAACACATGAAGATGTTGAAAAAATTCGTGAAATCATCAAGGAAGATCGACGACGGGCCATTGAAAAAATTGTGGAGCTGTCGGGAGTGACTTGGAGCAGTCGTGTGACTGGTTTTTCCATCATGACAATCCCCCTGCTCACACAGCCCTGTCTGTACGACAATTCTTGACCAAAAATGGTATGACCCCTGTTCCTCACCCTCCATACTCACCCGACCTTGCCCCGTGCGACTTTTTTTTTGTTTCCTCGAATGAAAAGAGACATGAAAGGAAAGCGTTTTGCTGATGTTGCTGAGGTGAAGGAAAAAACGACGGAGGCGCTGTCAAGCATCTCAAAAAATGAATTTAGACAATGTTTTGAAAAATGGAATAAAAGACTAAACAAGTGTATTAGTGTAAGTGGAGAGTACTTTGAAGGGGATTGAAGGTTTGTGCTTAAAATTTGAATAAATAATTAAAAAAAAAATAAGTTAGGTTTCTTTTGGGTGCCCCCTCGTAATGGGAAAACTGTGTTTTTATGTTGGTACCATACAGAGAATTTGTCTCCCCAGTGATGACTTCTGTACTGATATTTCTATGGTGCAAAATCCCATACATGTAGAGTTTTTAATACTTTAATTTTTTGTCTTAGCTCTCGCAGATGGTTTGTGCTGTGCTTGGCTTATATACCCTATCTTATATTAGTGCAGGTGTCCGCAGATGGGGACTAACTCTATCGATTGGGTCAGACTGAGTAGGTTTTACCTGAAGACAGAGACAGAATCCAGTCTCCGAAACGTTGTGTTTCGTTTTAAATAGAAACAGGACGATGAACAATGTACAGAAACATAATATTTGCATGGTTTTATTGCTTGAGCTTTGGCCAATCAGACGGGAAGGTGAAATGCGATGAACTGAATGCTAGTAAGTTCTTCCAGAATTCAATTTACTCCTTAACCAGACTCACAATGAGCTCATCGCCGTACAGTTTGAGAGTCTAAATGTAATGTTTGCCGGTCACGGTAGCCGAGCGGTCTAAGTCATGTACTGTCTTCGTTCGCTTGGAAACCGGGATCGTGGGATCGAATCCCACTCAGGGAATGGATGTTTAATTTGTGTGTGTGCGTTTTTCTGTGTTTGTGTATAGGTAGAGGCCTTGCGACGAGCTGATCACCCGCCCAAGGAGTCCTACCGAATGTGTAAGATCTAGAAAAACCGAAGTGAACGGAGAAGTTCATGGAGGTAGGCCTAGGCCCACTGAGGCTGTAGTGCCAAGGGGAAAAAAATGTAATGTTTGTGTTCGTCTCTTCGTACGGATCCCAACCTACTTCACACCTCAACACAACATGGCTGCACGCATTCCCTAACCTACAGACTGAACTTTGTTTCCAGGCGGTCGGTGCTGCCTCCTGCCGGCTACATAATGGAAGACTGTGTACACCGGTGTCCGGAGCTCGACGCATGCATCAACTCGTCATTGTGGTGCGATGGGGTTTCGCACTGTCCCTCGGGCTATGACGAAGCTGCCAAACACTGCTCCTTCATCTTGCAGCTTCCTCTACTTTACCTCGCTCTGGGAGCAGCGGGCATACTAGCCATCTGTTGCTCCCTGTGTCTGATCACCTGCAGCGCCTGTCGACGTCGCAGACGCTCAAGACATCACCGTCGTATCAAAAGTTTGCCGTCGGAAGCGTCGACAATCGGCAAAGAAGTCATCTGCTGACACAGCGACAATTCTGTGCGCTACGTGGAGGTTGACCGCGTGACCACTGTGTGACAATGACGTCAACTCCTCGCTCATATTCGCAACATTTTGCAGCATGGCCGCTTAGAATTGATTCTGTATAAAGTATCACAGCCGTTCAAATGAAACTCGTTTTCTTTTGGAGCAAAGCCAGGAAATATGCATATAGATTTCGATCGGAGAATGTAGCACATGGGTGATATTCTGTGATTTCAACACTGTCGGATGAATTCGTGATTCTGTTCTACTGCCGTTACTGCTCTTTGAATTAATCGCTGTTTACTTTTAGAACCATACATATGAACGTAGTCTGTAATAGCCTCATCAAAATACGGACACAATTTGAAGTTGGTCATGTTGTAAATATATCTCGTAATTCAAGAGAGATAGCGTTACGCTTCCGAGACCGTTGCGAACAGACCGTTACGTAACGTACAGAATTGATATCTGTTATTTGGGTCATTCATTGTTTAACACTGTGATAATGAATCGATTTAATTTTTACACATTCATGTTATGTAGGATAATTTGATAATGGGCCAAACATTTTTCTCCACTTTTCTTTTTGTATAATGTAAAACCATTTCTAGACGTGAACCATATGACAGTACAAAGATCATCGGCGAACTGAATGCAGGGGAAGAAAGTTAAACATTTTGGGATCATTTCATTATACAGTACTACACAGCCGCTTTTAAATGCATTTGCGCCAATTTTCTGACTGGAAGAGAAAAGCTTTAAAATATTATTGCAACCATTCTTTTCATGATCGATACTCGTTTCATTTTAAGTTTCGTCGATGCTGTTTTTCAGTTGTCCCGGATACGCTGATTGCTTTATTCCTAAACCTCAACAAATGCATAATCAACACATGTTCGCCTTCCTTTCAAACTCTCCACAAATTAGTAAACACTTCTCTACTATATACAGGGTGTCCCAGGAGGAATGCGCCAAACTTCGGGAGCGTGTTCCTTATGTTAAAGTATGCCGATATAACCCAAAACACCTATGTCCAAAGTTGAACGGTTATGGAGATAATGGCCAGAGAATTGTGGTCTTCTAGCGGGTCCACGCACTGTACCAGTCAGCTGGCATGTCTTATCTACGTTTGTCCTTGAGTGTGGTGATGGCAGTTCACGTTAGCCCCATACACTCGCATACCAGAACGCGCAGTCAGCAATGTTACTCCAGCGCTTGACATTCATGTGTCATGTATAGTGCTTGGAAATCTTAACGACAACTTTGACATATCGTGCGAGTTTTTTGTAGTTCAATTTTATGGCTTCATGTCATTCACAAGTTAGTTTGATGTTACGTACATTATTAACATTACAGAAACCACATATTTCTGCCAGTTTTAATATGTATTTTACAATCAACAAGTGTGTAACACCGGTCAAAGTTTCACACTTCTCTGGCCATTATCTCCGTAACCGTTCAACTTTGGACATAGGTGTTTTGGGTTATATCGGCATACTTTAACATAAGGAACACCCTACCGAAGTTTGGCACATTCCTCCTGGGACACTCTGTATGTCGCCAATTTTCACAGTCTCTGACCAAATGACTGGATTAGTGATAGTTGTTGATCTTTGCTGCAAAATGGAAAGGCCATGTTGGATGTGTCGCGGTAATATCGCTATTCAAAAAGCAACGAAAACCAACGGGGCGCATATAAGGACAAGTTCGATACCTGTTACCTTGTCAGTGCTGACAACGTCGCTTTCAAGGTTTATGAAAATTACCTTTCAGTTTTTACTTTCCCTCGCAGTGTTATCTGCCCGAATTTCGACTGGTACTGGACGTTTGGAATTGTTAAGCAAAGATGGAATAAGAGTTAGTGAAACTTAATATGGATTTGTAATATTAAGGCGCGTCCACATTACTCGTGCTCGTGCTCGTGTGACTCGCTATGCTCGCGAGTAATATGGACGATATGACAAGTCACGAGACAAGCAAATTTTTAATTTAAAATCTATAGCCAATAAATTAAAATACTACTACAGCCCATACACACTACGAGTAAATATACGGAGCCTGGCGAGCACGAGCACAAGTAATGTGGACGCGCCTTTAGATGCGATAAATGTAATGAGAGACCAGTTCACTGGCAAAACAAAATTTCTCTAGCTTCTGGCAAAGATGCTAATCAAATTGTCTCTCAGTGAAACTGGGCCGCGACTTTCAGTATTCATTAACCTCTTCAATGTATTCGAATAAGTTTAAAATTACATATTTTTTCTCTCCGAATCATTCTACGGGATGATTATCTGAAATTGCTTTAATGAATGCTGATGACTTATTGCCCTAATTTCGAACTGCAATTTATGAAGAGGTTGAACGGAAAAAAAAGTAAGCCTATGATAATTTTTAAGAGCAACAAAACGCGCAAATAAACAAATTTAGGATAAGGACATGGCGGAATACGTGGAGCTAAAGCTAATCTTTTAAGCTTGATGGTCTTACTGCGATTACTATGAAGAGTACTATAGTCTGAGACGTGACGCCGTGCATTCTGGTAGAAGTTAGCTGATGTTCAGGTCCGAAGAGTAAGCCAGGCTTGCTCTGCTTGCTGCTTCTTTGGCTCACTCTTTCATCCTGAAGATGGAGGTAGTACGTTCCTCCGAAACAGATATATTTCCACCAGACTACAAGGCCTCACGTCCCAGAAACTAGTACCTTCAAAATCGCATTGTTTTATGTACTTTTATCTTATGGTATCCCAGTTCAACTGAAGGACATTCCTAAGTCGACAGTATCTCATTGTATTGTTTTTTCGATTAATCGATGATATATTAGTACACATACTGAACCTCCGTATTAACAAGGTAACATTCTTAAACATGTTTTTATTTCCATGAGAACGCGTGAAGAGATTATACATTAATAAAATTTACGTGAGATTTTAGTTCCGCACTGCGGTTAATGCGATGATTATGTTTTCTCGGGACGTTACGCCGTGTACTCTAGTATAAACATAATGTTTCGGAGGATCCTACTGGCTCTGTCTTCAAGTAAAAACATTTCTATGAGGATCATCAGAAATATTGTTACCTTTGCACCACAATACATAGTCCCACAACCCTGAAGACTGCAATTTCTTTCCGAAAACTTTTGCTGACTATGCAGGAGAGGGTACTAATATCAGTGCTCGAAACTGGTAAAATACGTATATCATAGTGTTCATTGGTCTTGAAAAAAGAAACTGTAAGACTCTTTCAAAAGGCAGAGTTTGTGAGCTTGTTCACAAGGTGTTATTATTTATTATAATGACGCTTAAATTTGAAGAAAATTTTACTGTGGATTAAACACACTTTCTTCAAGTAAGATGGAATAGTAACATTATCATACATCGGCCCAGGGGTCAAAACATATTTGCATGTCTTGTAGATAATTTACTCGCAAGAAAATGGTGGATCATTACTTCCTGTTGCCTTGGTGTGGCTCTCCTCGTCGCTCAGAATCCATTTCTTCCGCTTGTCTTACGTCTGTTCTAACACGCAAAACATAAACATAAGATGGATGTGGGATAAATTATTTTAAGACAAGCTTAATTGCTGTGACTAATTAATTTATGTTGACATTAAGTTCTCCGTACGTGGTCCTCCATTTCCTTTGTGCCAGAAGTGATTAAATGAAGTTGCTAGAACTTAAAACCAAACTCTTGGATGCCGAATGAGAAACCAGCCGCGAATTAATACACGTGAAAGAGTCAGTAAATAAGTCACAAATGGATACAAAACGCAAAACACGTGATATCGAACCTGGAAAAAAACATTTATTTCTCGACATATCCTCCACTAACACTGATACACTTGTCCAATCATTTTATTAGCGTGTCAAAACCCATAGCATAAAAGTTTTGGGCTGTTGTCTCAGCCACTCCCGCACCTCCGTTTCGATCTCTTCTTCCTTGAGAGAATTTCTCGACCCAATTGTGAACCGTTTTACGGGATAAACATTTCGTACTGTAAACAGCAAACATTTCTTTATTAATATCTTTTGCATTGCGTCATTTCACCCAAAGACCGCGCATTGAATGCTGCTCTTCGGTATTATATGCCTCAGGTACAGTCGCCATTTTTACTAATGAAATCAGCCTCCGAACTTGCGCATGCGCGTCTGCTACCAACACACTCATGAAGCTGGACTGTGTTGTCACCTAGCGATATACATAGAAAACATATTACGTCCATTACAGCTGTTTTACTTCCATTTTGTGACAAATTTACTGATTCTCCCTCGAATATTTCGGTCGCCACTGGCGATCAGGTGACAGTAATTTTCGAACCCAGTTGTGGCCGATTATGTATGACTATGTCTGGTGCCGAGTAAGCAAACTATGCATATTCAGACACGAATATCTGCAAGTGCGAAATATGTACATGAATCCTTCAAAAGTGCCTCTGTCGTCACACCCATGAGAGTGGGAATGTTATGTCAAGTGTAACCGAGTCGCTGTATCCACTGACACGAGGAATGTAATTCCGGATTGTGGTGAGGACGTACAAAGTTAAAACTCTGTGACATTTCATTCGGGTTGAACGTAAGGATCACTGCCAAATTTAAGAAAATAATTTCGTAGTAGGCATGGAGATTAAAACGACATAAAATAAATTAAAATTTATTTCATAGTTCACTCATGAAGTTGTTTCTCTCAATTGTTGTGCCTCACATTTATCGGATATCACGATATAAGATCAGTTTTATGATTTATAACTGTTCCTCATTAGTAACAAAAAAAACAGGAATATTTGACGCAGTTGTGCGGTGCGAGATATGAGGCTCTCAGGTGGTGATTAGAAAGATTGCTGTCCTCTGGGATGTAACGCCGTAAGTCCAATTGTTTCGGAGGAACCTGCAGCTACCATCTTCAAGGTAGATGATTAAATCGCAAGGAAAAACTCCTTCACGACTTACTCTTACTCCCTGAATATGGAGGCATAACTTTTATTCGTAATGCTGGAAGCGATCTTCTGGACAACACGGCCCCCAAAAAGAATAATCTTCAATTCTGTATTCTTTAACGGCTGCTACACGTTTCGGGAATTGTTTATATTTTCACTGGCAAAGAAGATGTATTAGTTATATATTATTTCAGTATCTCTTAAAGCCTGAACCACATTTAAATAACATATAAGATTTCAGTTCGCACCTCACAGGAAACACACTGTGTCTCCGCTACAAAGCCAAACCGGTTAATGCTGTTTAGGGAAATAATATCTGTTTATTGTGAGAACCATACGGAACACATAAATACACTGTGTGGGCAGAATGCAGAGTTCAGTTCGTACCTCACAGGATACACATTACGTCTCCGCTACAAAGCCCAACCGGTTAATGCTGTTTAGGGAAGAAATCGCTGTTTATTGTGAGAACCATACGGAACACACAAATACGCTCTGTGGGCAGAATGTAGAGTTCAGTCCGTGCCTCACAGGAAACACATTACGACTCCGCTACAAAGCCCAACCGGTTAATGCTGTTTATTGTGAGAACCATACGGAACACACAAATACGCTCTGTGGGCAGAATGTAGAGTTCAGTCCGTGTCTCACAGGAAACACATTACGACTCCGCTACAAAGCCCAACCGGTTAATGCTGTTTAGGGAAACAGTCGCTGTTTTTTGTGAGAACTATACAGAACACATAAATGCACTGTGTAGGCAGAATGCAGAAATGTTTAATGTTATGGCAGGTGGTGCTGTGGTTTAAACAAAAAATTACACAAGGATAGGCCCTACTAGGGACAGAAAGCATTGGGAAAGGCATTTCGAGGGACATTCTCAAGCGACCATCAGGTGCATTACAAGTACCGAAGTCGGGAACAGAAATCAATGAGGAAGACTGACGAGAAATTTGCGTGTGTTTAATTAAGCTGCACCGCACAAAGACATATGGAGAAGTGTATGTATACTGCCACATATTCTTAAGTTCGGTACTAGATGGAGGTGAG